AAAAGTTTAATCTGACTTTTCTCATACTTTGTAAATTTTTGCCCTTGTATTATCAGACTAAAAGGAATATTCTCCCATGATTGAAATAAACAGTCACTTGGTAAACAATGTACTATTTTTTACCTGTTTATAATTTAATATTTTTCCTTTTAATGAAGTATGTGATGCCACAGACCTTAGTAATAGTTTGTGTGTGTGTGCTAAAAATTGGATACGCCAAAACATTCACCAGTTCAAGAAATTCCACATGTAAAATTCAGTGACATCGATTACAGTTTTGCATATTATGTAGCCATTGACAATTTCTGAATTATTCCAATACCATGAATATATAACTCTAGTGCCCCCTCAGCACAAACCTTCCACTTATGGTAACTCCTACTATCTCACTCTCTGCCACTAAGAAAATTCTGATTCATAGCAACCCTATATATCTACTTAAAAGTGAAATTTTATAGTATTTGCCCTTTCGTGCCTGCTTTATGTCACCCAGCATAATGTTCTAGGTTCATCGATGTTGTCTATACCAGGAGGACTCCATTTCTCTTTGTGGCTGAGTAATATTTTGTTATCTGTATGTATTACCTTTTGTTTATCCACTCATCTGTTGAACATTTAGGTTGTTGACATTTCTAGACTCTTGGGAAAGAACTACAGTGAACACCAGTGCACAAGTTTCTGCTTGCATCCCAGTAATGGCTTTACCATTTATTTTATTGTAGAAACCCAGTGCTGTTTCAGACATAAAGAATCCATTGTTTATTCAAAAAAGATCAAAGCAGAAGTGATAAGAACTAAAAAAAAAGTGATAGGAACTCTTAGGTAAATAGAATACATTATCATAAGCTTTTTTTCCTTAAAAAATATCAGAAATCCAAAGGTATTATAGAATCTTGTTTAACTTTATGAAAGTGAATACCAGTCATTTTCTATTGCATACATACAAGTGGTAAAGAACCAGCACTTGTATATCACACATGATGAACGTGGGTGTGCTTGGGTCTATTCATGTCATGGCTCGCTCTTCTCTGGGATATATACCAAGTAGAGGAATTGTTGTGTTCTGTGCTATTTCTACTCCCCACTTTTTGAGGAAGTACCATTCCTCGTTCCACGGTGTTTGCACCATTTTGCTGTCCCACAAGCAATGTAAAGAAGGTTTCAGCCTCTGTACCCTTACCAGCCTTTTTCTTTCTTTTTTCTGTTTTATTTTTCCTTTTTGTTAACTGAATTAATTGGGGTAAGGTGATAGCTCACTGTTATTTTGATTTGCATCTCTCAAATGTCTAATGATTGCAACCACTTCATGTGTTTGTTGGCCACCTGAATGTCTTCTTTGATGAAGTGTCTGTTCATGCCCTCTGCCCATTAAGGACCCTATCATCCCGTCCAAGAGGATGCACAGGACCAGCTTGTTCTGCTTGGGTTGCTATGTGTTGGAACCCACTTAAGGTCCTATTTCCTGCCCTATGTCTGATAGGTTTTGATGGAATCTGTATGTTGTGTATGAAAAATTTTAACTAGGATTGGTGGCTGTGGCTCAAGAACCTGTAGACAAAATCTAGTCAGCCATCTCTTTTTGCCTGGCCCTCAAGTTAAGAAAGAGTGTTTGCTGAAGGAGCCACCAGGGTACAATTGGCTTCTGCATCTGGAGCAACAGAGGAAGAATCATGGAAAGGAGACAGAAATGGAACATGTGTCAAGAGTCTATAGAAAAGTCTTCAGAAGAATATTTGATCGAAAAGGAAAACTCAGAACAATTTAAAATTCTCAAACGAAATTCAGGCTTTATGGAGACTGGATGAAGGCCTGAAACGATTGCCCTGTGATCCTATTCAAGCCTTAAACTAAAATTACCCCCTTGGAGTTTTCATGAAGCCACAGTTTCGTTTAGTAGAGAAAGTCCACATTGAGCACTGTGCTGTGTGAAGGTCTGTCTACGAGCACAATGACAGCAGCACCTCAATAGGCAGGGAACCGAGGGCCCGTGTATCTGGGTCACTGAGGAGGGCACCTGGAAAAGGAGGACGGCAATGGCGGTACAGTTAGGGGAATGTAAACGATGTCACTGAGTTGCACATGAACTGGTACAGATGTTGCTGTGTGTGCTCTCAACAATAACTATAAAATTTCTATTTTAATGGTAAGAAAAGTAAATAAATGAATACCTTTTACTAATAATAAACTCAAAGCTAAGAGGACATAAGTAAAATTTTATTGGAAAACTTATTCATTTACATACAGTCAAAATTTACTTTAAGATGAAAGCAGCAGAATTGAGTGATTCCAATAGACCTGACTTGCAAGCCTCGTATTTGCTACTGCTTACCCCGTTAGCTAGGTAATCGTGTCTTTCTCCAGAGAAGATGTATTATTATAGGCCCTTAAAGTATCAAGATCACCTTAATCCATTCAAGGGCTTAGTTGCGCCAAAGCTGTTCTTTGATTTGTATAAGGTTTGTTCAATTTCTGTCATCTCTACTAGCATGTATCCACGAGCGTCAAGCTAATGGAAAGCCTGGTGTATTTACCTAGGTTCTTCCTTGATGGGTGCAGTGCTGTGGGTTTTTCCTTATACGTCTTTCTGAGATAGTGGCCCTTCTAGTCCTCACTGCCATAGTAACTCACTGATGTCTTTAAACAAAATTTATATGTGTGTGTATCAGAAGTTCAAAGTCATGACATCACATTCTTTATTCTCCAATGGATTTCCACTTCATTTAAGACAAACTAGGTCCTTAGGGTTATTTCCAAGCCTTGCATGATCTGAGTAACTACATGAGACAAAAACAGGTACTAGCTAGTAACAAGTACTGGACTTATCATTTCACATGCTTACACGGATGCTGGAGCACTGGTGGTATAGTGGGTTTATGTGTTGGGCTGCTAGCCGCAAGGTCCATCGTTTGAAACCATCAGCTGCTTCGTGGGAAAAAGACAAGGCTTTCTACTATTGAGAGTTGCAGATTTGGAAAGCCACAGGGGCATTTCTTCTGTGTCCATCAGCGTCGCTATGGGTCAGAACTGACTGGGTAGCAGTGTTTGGGTTGTGCTGATGCAGCAGAAATAATTTGTATGTAAAGATTTGAAAATACTCTCATTGATTTTTGTCATTTTATATATTTACTTTGAAATTAATATTGATTCTATATAATTACTTTTCTAAAACTATCTTAAACTTTTTCTTTCCAACAGTTGTATTGGCACATAATTTACAAGTCAAACAATTCAGTAGTTCAATCATATCCAGGAGAATTGTACAATCATTACCATATCAATTTTTCATTGTTTTTTAAATTGTAGTATAATAACAGAAAAATGCATAAGTTTTAAAGGCTCGGTGAATTGACAGGCATACATATGTACCAGAACACCTCAGTCACAGAGCATTGCTAACACCCTAGAATGTGCCATCCTTGCCTTTTCCAGTTAATCTTCTGAAGGAGCAAACGCTGTTTTGCCCTCTACCCCTCTCAACCAAAACGAGCAAACCCACTGCCAGTGAGCCAGTTCTGACTCATCGTGACCCTACCGGACAGAGTAGAACTGCGTCCTAAGATTGCCAATGCAAACAGAACTTGTACACCACTCTTTACAGGTGCAAACAACCTCATCCTTCTCCAACTGAGCTGCTGGTGAGTTTGAACTTCTGATCTTGCTGTTAGCAGCCTAACTTCTAACTCACTGTACCACCAGGACTCCGTAGATTATACTAAATCTCAAAATTGCAAATGTTATGCTTCTAACGCTATATAACACCATGTTGCTAACAGCACTACTATGATCTTATAGGCTGTGAATATATTTTCCCTTTACAACTTTCACCTTCTCAGTATCCCAGCTTCTTCATCACATTTCTAAGGTCAGTGATTTTTAATCTAGTGGTCTAATTTATAGTCTTTGATGATCAAAAGCTATACTAACACAGTCACATAATGGTTAACACAAGTAACGTTAGTCTTTCAAACTACACTACACTGAAAATTAATTCCTAGACTTCCAACCCTCATATTTCCATGGCAATTCAAATACATTATTGTAAGCCTCAATAGCCTTTGGAAGCAGGCAGGGGAAAGTGGTATTTTCCATTTATAGATAAGGAAAAGTTTCAACAAGTACTTGATTTACACAAAATTTCCCAGCCATTAACTGGTGGTGCCTGGATTAGATTTTCATTCTTTTGTTCATTCCACAATTTGTGGCTGCATATACACAAGGAAAGAGCCACTATGTAATCCACGAATCAATGTCCTTGTTTGTTCTCTGAAAAGTCATATGTTGCCCATTCTTTCCATCCTCCAGCATAGTGTTGAGCACTGAAAGCAAATGAAATTGTGCTGTCAATATTTTCTTCTTCATAAAACAGTTGGTAGGAATGTTAAACAATAAAAAATGCAACGAGTACTTACCACACTGTGTAGGCCTTAAACCTATTTAATAGATTGTGTTGCTTTTGAGTAAGATGAAAAAAATCTCTTAGTCTAACTTTCCTGCCCTTACTAACAGGCATTACAATAAATTCTTACATAGGCCAATAACAATGTGATACATGAGAAACATTGCAATAATATTCTGGAATCGATTTTTTTTTATGTTTCAGCCACACACCTGTTAAAGCCCAAAGATAATGCTGTGTCCAAAGCCTTCTTGCTTCTCACTCCAGCTAAACAAGAAAAGACTAGGTTGTCAGAGTCGGATGGCTTTACTTCATTGTACTTGTCTTTGAAGTCTCTTGGGTTCATCTGGAGGGCCTGGCCAACCTCACCCACTGAAAGAAAATGTTCAGGATTTTGTTTTTATTTTGGACAAGGTAGATAATGTTTCTCGATGATATTAACGGATCCATTTTAAGACATCACTTACATGGTATATTGATGGACCCAGGGATTTTTCCAGTCTCAAGGACTTCCCATGTCTCTCTCACATCAATCAATGTGATGTTTTTGGAATTCAGCAGGTTTTTAAGTTCTTTGTAACTGACACTTTTAGAAATAGCAGTACAAAAATTGTGGCAGCCTCCCTTTATTGACTTCAAACCTGGAAAGAATAAAACTATTTAGGTACCTGCAAGACAACATTGCTATTAGTAGCTAGAGAGTGTTAAGTTAAAGAAATTTCCTCTGGTTCCGATTTACTTTAGTAAGCCATCTGCCCTGTGGTTGTGCCTTATTCTAATTCAGAATTCTAATGCTGAATTATTCATCTGTCCTGAATGCCTGCTATCTGACCTATAGCCACTCATTGAAGGCAGCTTATATATATATACCCATTCAGCATTTGGTAACTGAATTATGGTTCTTATTTTATAAATCTTAATAAACCGAATCCAAGTTACATTACTAAAAAAAAATTTATTTCATTTCTCCTTGCAAGCAAAAATTCTCCAGTATGCACGATTTCCATATAATAATTGGAAACATAATAAAGAACTAGATTATAATCTACAAAATATTATAAATCCATGGATCTATATTGATATAGTGCTATTACTGAATAAGTAAATAGATGGAGGAGAAAGGATAATTTTCCTTACATTGGAATTCCATTTAATAAATATATAAGTAATAGAAAGTAGACATTAAAAAAGCATTCAAGTTAATATACTCATTCCTCACTTATCAACTTGGGTAGGTTCAAGTGTTGTGTGAAAATGAAAGATCACATAAGATCACAAAACAGAAGGTGCCTACATTATTACATAATTGGCAAATCTCATCATTACAAAACTGCCAACACACCAAAATTCACATGGCCCAGTTAAGTTGACACATAACCTTCACCATTAAGTTCTTTTTTTTTTTAATTGTACTATTGGGGGCTCTTACACCTCTTATAACATTCCATACATCAGTTGTATCAAGCATATTTACACATACGTTGCCATCATCATTTCTAAAACATTTTCTACTTGAACCCTTGGTACAAGCTCCTCTTGTTTCCCCTCCCTCTCCATCAGGTTCATTTTAGTCCTCAAATTGACGTTCTTGCTCTTCAGCACTTTCAAGAGGTGCTACAGTGCAGCAGGCCTGCCCTATGCAGCACTTCAGTTGCTGCTTCCGATTGCGAATCCAACAAGAGGAACTCCTGCAGAACTTCAGCCTCTTCTCCATTTGTCATGATGTTGCACATTGATCCGATTGTGAAGATTAGGGTTTTTTAAATACTGAGTTCCAGTCCACACTGAAAGCTGCCGTCCTTGATCTTCAACACCAAGTCCGTCAAGTCCTCACTTTGAGAAACCAAGGTTGTTTCAGTGACATATCTCAGGTTGCTAATGGGCCTTCCGCCAATCCTGGTGCCACATTCTTCTTTTTTTTGCCACGTTCTTCCTTATAAGGTCTAGCTTCTCGACTTACTTGCTTGTCATACAGATTGAATAGTATGGGGAAAGGATACAACCTTGATGCACTTTTCCTGATTTTAAATCAGTAGTCCCTTGTTCTGCTTAAATTAACTGCCTCTTGGTTCATGTATGAGTTCCTAATGATCACAAGGAAGTATTCTAGAATACCCATTTTCTCAATGGTATCCAGTTGGTTATGACCCATGACAAAGAAAACTTCCCGGATGAGATTATAACCACAGGTAGCGGGTTTGGATTTACAATATATGTTTCCAGGCTGTAAGGGTAGGGCAGGGGTGGGAGGGCACAATTAAGTTCCTAAATCCTGAGTCCTTGGTTGTATCATTGGTGATTCTTTATTTAGTGGGAGGAGAGCAGAAGAGTTTATCACCTTTTTAGCTTAAGAACTATAAAATCAATATGGTTTTGGCAAACAGAGCCTTAGCTGATAAAGCCAAAATATGAGTATATGCTATTCAAAAACAAAACAAAATTCATTGCCATTCAGTCAATTCTGATTAATAGGGACACCACAGGACAAAGTAAAACTGTGGCTTTCCAAGGCTATAAATTTTTAGATGGAACAGAAAGTTGAACTACTGCCCTTGCGATTAGGAACCTAACACATAACCCACTAAGCTACAAGGGCTCCTTTGTATATGCTGTTAGCTCTTACAAATGAAGAAAAAACAAAAGTAAGTTGCAAAGACCTTATATGCTTTTTGTTAGTCTGCGTTGACTAGAGAAACAAATTCATAGACACTCATATGAGAGAAACTAATATAAAAGACTAATTATATATTAAGAAAACATCCCAGCCCAGTCCAGTTCCAGTCCATAATTCCAATATTAGCCCTTAAGTCTGATACGAGTCAATAAATTCTTAGACACACTCAGCCATTCAATGTGCTGAATGAAGGAAGATCACAGGCCAGTGGGTGTAAAGTCTTGTGGATCCAGTGGCAGGAGAAGGATCTCAGCGCTGGCATGGGTCTGCATGTGGCTCCTCCAGCTCCAGGGCTCGGGCATCATCAGCATAGCTCCATGTGGTTTCCCAGCAGGAAGACGAGTCAGAGAGTGTGTGTGTCCTGCATCCAGGGAGGAAGACAGGAGTTCCCAGAATCCTCAGAAGGCCATGCTCACACAGAAGTCTCATTGACTATGACCTGACTGACAGGCTAGACTCTACCCCTGTACCTATTTAACAAGTTGACATGACATTATGTAACTACCACAGCTTGTAACAATCAGACTCTTCTGCTTTTATTTGTCTTTCTCCCTGATACACAGTAATGAGAAAATTATCAAATACCTAGAAAAGTAGAAAATAGGTTTGTCTCCTTTAAACTTTGACAAGCCATTCTTTTTTTTTACAAGATAACCATACGTTAAACCAGTTCGAATAAAACTTTCTCACTTAAGTTGTTTATATTCCCAGAATTAAAAGCTGAATTCACACTCCTTATTTTTTCTCAGTTAAACTCAAAGATAGTGGGATTTAGCCTTTGAGTAGCATGAGTATGAGTAACTGAATCAAAGAGGTACCAGTCTCTGGAGAAGGATGTCATGCTTAGAAGAGGATCACAGAACAAGAGGAAGACCTTCCGTGAGATTGACGGACCCAGTAGCTGCAATGGGTTCAGACCTAGCAATGTTTGTGAGGATGGTGCCAAAATGGACACCATTCTGTTCTGCGTAGGGTCACAGTGTGTCCGGACCGACTCGGCAGCCCCTACTAACAACAGAGTCACATCACACCCAGACTTGGCTTATTCTAATTCAACTGTACTCCTCTGACAAAACAAGCACCGGTAATCGGTGAAGAATGGATTCCTGCCTTTCCACTCGGTTAGCAAAGCCTGAAGCCAGTAGGCTCCCTTGATGAGTTCAGATCCTCTGAGCCAGGCCTGGGATAAGTCTCTGACCTACACTGATTCTATTATTAAAGGTTTTTTTTGGTGTGTGGAGGGGGCGTTGCAACATGGTTTCTACTTGCAAATCAACTACTTCATCTGGTGCTCAATCACTGAATTAAAACTGTTTGATATTTATGAAAAATGTGTGAGTCTCTTGGAGTTTCAACAATACATATTATACATGATTTACACCTATTCAGCCTAAATTTGAATACACTGTAGTTTACATGGATAAATATAATCTCATGCAAGGTAGCATTTGGATCATGATAGTGGGGAGGGGGCGGAGAGGAAGCATTTAGGAACTAGAGGAAAGTTGTAATTTTCATCATTGCTACATCCGTACCCTGTCTGGCCGTAGTATCTGCTGTGATTCAAACAGCCCTATTGTTCTCATGGGATACGTCTGAAAACCTCAGTAAGGAGAAAAATTACTGAATCCATCACTGTATGTATGTCTACGCATATATGTACACACATCTTATTATTTTTATATGTGCATCTATTTATGTGTGTT